AATAATTATTAAAAAGATTAATTTATTATTAAAAAATTTAATTAATAGTATATAAATTAAAATTATCTTTTAATTCTAAAAGATCAACTAGGACTTATTAGGACTTTTACCAACCCTAATCATTGTAGATCATTATTTTTAAAAGCATAATTAACTTTGATGATATCATAAGTAAAGAATAGCGAAGGAATGTAATTTGTAATTATTTGATTTTGGGATATAACAGCTTTTGACTTTAGTGATAATGATGATGTCTTAAAGGTCATATGCCGAAGTGCCAAATAGCAAGTTTGTAAGTTTAATACAAATATCATTTCTATTTTTCATTTGTTCTGAAGTAAGATCAATAGGGTAAACTCTTATACAATCATTATACAGGTAATATGACCATTGTGAGTAAAATAGTTGAGCAGAGTTAGGATCTTCATAAGTAATATATGTATGTTATCATATACCTCATGTTTGTATTTTAACATTGGTAACTTTATTATATTTGGTAAAAACAGAGGTGAGAAAATCTTGTTTAACGTTAAGATGAATATCTATGATATGCAGGATGCGTTGCTAGAACTGCATGTTATTTTTGTAATCCTTATAGTCAATAAGTTATTTAATTTTCAAATCAGAGAATTTTATTAAGAAGGTGTTAGTCATTGTCTCCTGATCAGTGAAGTAGCTCACTGCAAATCTAACGAAATTAGCAATGTGAGCGTTAACTCCTTTGAATGCGTCATCAAGAGCAAAATGGTTGTTGAGAGTCTTGATAATACTTTGGGTTGAGAGGTCTTTAGTAGTTTTAGAAATAAATGAAATACAAGCGAAAGGTATTAGACGTAAAATAGTAATGAAGTCATGATTATCAATATCCATATTTTTGTCATTTTCAATAGGAATGTACTCATCCTTGTCTAAAATATTTGAAGGTGATGTTTTGTTGGAAAGGAAAGTCTCAGAGATAATAGTTTTATCAGAGAGGGTATTGTTAGTAGAAACACTTCTAAAAGTTGAAGCAACAGGTTCAGATTGCTTATTACTTTTAGGTCAAAATAGAAGGTGTTATTTTTCTATCTAATGTTTTGTTTACTATTTTTGGAGTCATTTTTTGTTTATAATTTTAGTAAAAATTCTTTTAAAAATAAAATATATATTGTAAAGATAATGATATAACTAACTAATAGAGTTAAAAAATATTAATAAATTTTTGAGCAAAGTGTTTTTATTTTCTAAAAAAATTTTTGTTTCCAAAATTTTTTGATTGAAGTGAAAAAGAGTTCTTTTTGTTTTTAAAAAATTATAAAAAAATAAATCATTATAAAATATACAGAATTGTGATACTGAATCATTAATTACATATACAAACCTTATAAAAATATATTATTTTTTTATTTGGATTTCTTATAGAAAATGCAACTAACTACAACTATAAGTCATATAATCAGCAAATCTGTCCAACATTTCAGATGTATCCAGTATGCAAATCATGTTATATTTACATATTTTGTATTTTTCTATCAAAAAAAATTTAACTCAGTATTGTCTCAAATTTTATAAGTAAATTTTCCCTTCTGATATTTAAGGAACTTCTTCAATATAATCACCAAAAATCACCAGCACATGATGTATTTTGCTGATCTTATCTAAAAATAGGTAGATTAGTTTTTACAAAAAATTTGTTATTTTAAATAAAACTTAACTTAAAATTTTGAAATCATTTTTTCTATAGGAATATTTGCAAACTCTATAAGTTTGCTTAGGATCAAAAGAAAGGTTTTAAATTCCATTTATTAACTTACGTATTGTATTTTTTAAAAGTTACTTTACAAAGAAATCTTATTAAAAACATCAATTTTCTTCTCTAAGTAAACTTGTAGAGAAGACAATAATTGCATATAAAATAAAAAAAATGAAATCAATTTTTTTTTCGTTAAAATGTATAACATATTTTTGGAAATGCAGATCAAGTGCCTGTGATTTTTTGGTAAGAAGTTCAAGTCATGTGACTTATAAATATTCTGTCACAATCACCATGTTTCATTTTTTACTCATTTTCTTATCTATTTAGGATTATTCTATTTTAAAAGAATCACTTCAATATAACTAACCTGAGATAACTATGAGTTCCTGTTGATTTTCACCATTCAGAAATGTCATTCAGAATATTTTTTTTTGAAATAAAAAAATGTTAGGTATTGAATCTGAAAATGGCAAGCAGTTGTATGCTAAGATGCGTCATTATCACTTAAGCCCGCAGCAAAATGAGATGCTTTGAAGCCGCCAATGACCTGTTCAGTTGTGTAATTCATACCCATTCTTATAAAGGACTCACCAAATTTTTACCAAGAGAAACAGCTTTATTCATCGCTGTTGAAGCAAATCATCATCCTCGATTGTAGGAGCTTTTGCAATTAGAAATGAATACGTTTAACATTTTCAGAAAATGGTTGTGCCATTTCATTTTTGATCTGACAGATCCTCGTCATTTTTCGTCCAACTATAAAAGAAATCTTTTCTTTCCATCACCCACAGTTTTCTGCAAATCTGTGACATAGCTTAAGATGATTGAAAAATATTTTACTTTGACTTATTGGAAGGTTTGCTCAGAAATAAAAGTTTTGCAAGGTCATTATTTATGTTTTGTTTAGAATTTTTTTTTTTTTTGTGATAATTAACATGCTCAAGAAATTTTATTAAGATTTGATTAATCATTGTAGTATATCATAAATATAATAGCAATATTAAAGTTTTATGAATGAACAGTCTTATTACTAGTTAATTCTTTATTATTTCCAATTTTATGATTAAAAAAATTTAATACATTAAACATCATCGCCACGTAGTATTAAAATTTCATCTGGTTTGCCCTGCCGTTTAACAGTGAATTTGCTGAAATCGTCTGCATAAAGTACGTACCAAAACTTTTCTAAGGGCTTAAGAACTTTCATTTTTTCATGACGATAATCCATGATAACATATTATTTAAATGAAATCAATTTCCCATATTTTCCTTTATCATTGAAACGTTCAGCATGGTCCTTCATTCTATTCCCTTCACGTAAAAATTCAATGCCTCAACTGCAAATCGTTTACATAGAAGTCCAAGGTAGCCTTTGTTCCAAATATTTGTCCTACATCAGTACTTATTGTAACGCTTCTTAGTAGCACTGTATTTGCGGATCTGTATCATTCTTTTTGCCACATCTGCTTGTATAATCGTGAATCTTTTTTATAATCATGACTTAAGGAATTCTTCAAGGCCAAAGGTCTCATTCTTTCTAAGCTTCGAAAAAGAAATTCTTCACAAGAGTTGAAAACGTTTATCATATGAAACATTATATAGATGAATTCCCAATATGATGCGCATTATAGGAGCTGTAAATTGAAAATCATATTCTCTATGAACAATTAACCCGGAATGGATAAATTTTTGAGCTATGGTCGAAAAATTTTCTAAATTCACTGAGAAGGCAGAATCTGTATCACACTGATTTAATACGATTCGTAAGAAATCACTTTCTTCTTTGGTTGGTTTCCAATCTTGTAACCAGTAAAATGAACATGTACAACTTATAAATTTATGAAACCCAGCAGACAAAAGATGTTTTAACAAAGCTCCAGCATCACGTTGACCATAACAATATATATTCTGTAAGAGATCCAAAGTATATCTAATAATACTAGCGTGATCACGACTAATATTATATATAGTCTTCTTGACTTCATCATCAATATAAACAGGCTCTTTTGTCTGTACTTTATGAATATACTTAACTAAGAACTCTTCATATTCGACCCATGATAAACGAAGATATTTCAAGCCTATTGATACTGAAAAGTCTATAGGAGTAGAATTATTACCAAATTTTCCAGGTTCACATTACATACTTAAAAGAAGAACACGTATTAAGGGTTTTTATTTTTTTACTTATATTTTTCTGTGCACTTTGCATAAGCCCTTTTAAATTGTTCCAGAAAAAAGGTATATGTCCATACAAGATTTGCACTTCATCTATCAAAATATTCATAGATTCATTTCCATTAATACAATCAGTCCAAGTTCTTCCAATTTGCGATTTCCAATAATCATCAAAAGATGTAGGGCTACTCAATAAATCTATTTCATTCAACCAAAGCATCGAGATTATCTTAACCTTTCTATTTTTGTGTTTTATAAGAAACTTTTTTAGTATTGTTGAAAGTGTAGTCTTGCCAGAAGCAAGTGGACTACATAAGAGACAAACATTAAGTATGGATAGCGTCACATCGAAGCATGCAAGACAATCATCAGAAATGCTTACGAGCTCATCTTCGCCTTCATATAATTTAGGATCAAATGTAGCAGGGTATATATTTAAAGTATCTAATTGTTCTGAGAGTCTAAGAATTTTTTTATTATCATCTTTAACATTGTTTTGAATATGTATTTTTGGATACTGAACTAAAATATGTATATGTTCTGAATATAATGACTCTTCGGGCAACTCTGTAGCTACTTTCTTCAAAAATTTTAATTTTCGAATTTTTTTTTCTTCATTTTCTTCAAGTTTAAGAAATGTAAACGCGTCATTATTATCATAAGGTATAGAAACATTCCATAATATGAGATCTTTTACATTTATATTTCTGTTTGATTTAAGTTCCTTCCAGATTTCTTTCCTAAGCTTGCTTATTGATGCTTTTTTGGAAATTTCTACTTCAAAAGCATGGTCTGTTGATTCGCCGTATACGAGACAAAGAATTGTTACAAACATTTCACTCATAATTAACGAAGAATTAGGAAGAATTAGCTTTATTATCTTTGTTATGGCAGCATAATAGACATTCGTTATATCACCTGGTGATAAAATCAAATGTTGATCTTTTTTATATTGTATAACATTTAATGTTAATCTTTTGCATTAATATGTCGTTTGTTCTTTTCTTTACATTTGGGTAAAAAATGATCTGGTGATCTTTGCACTAGCGAAACTTAGATAAAAGCCGAAGTTTTAAGGTTTTATTAATTAATATATGTATATTAAAATATATTTTACCAAGTTTTTATAAATTCTAAAGCCTT